GGGTTCTCACACTCTCTCCCCCTTAAAGAAATTTTGTCCTCGAAATTTTCTTACCACCAGAATTTATCCAAATCTTAATTAAATGGTGAAATACGGGAATCATACCTTCTACGTCCTCAAACAAGTCAAGGACACGATGTTGCTCTAGGGAATACACCCGAGCCAGTACTTTCGATCCAGTCTTTTCCCTTTTCGACTGTCCAAGGTTAGTCTTGGTTGGTTGCTGGGTCCCTTCCCATTCTCGCAATCGAATTGGGCAGTCAGCAATCCGATGATCGACGCTCCCACAGCGCAGGCATTTTCCCTCTTTCTTCCAACAATTATTCTCCGTGTGATTTGGCCCCCCGCAAAATTCGTAAGGACCACGGGATGTAGAAAACGAGCCTCCCCATGAGGCACCACTCTGTTCTCGCCCAACCTGACCACCTCTGGCTTGGGCTCCCCTTGACTCTCTCGGAAGTTTTACTCCTCCAGTTCCCTTTCCAGACTTGGGAGGGGTACTTTTATCCTCTTGTCCCGAACTACTTCCAAGCCATCCCTGTTTCTTCGCTTGGAAGGTTCTAACTTGAAATTTTGCATTTTCAACTCGTAGGGCTTTCTCTACAGCATCACTAAATGTATTGATCTGGGCTACGGCTAAATCCTTTTGAATCTCAACGTTCAACCCCTGAATAAATCGTCGTATCCTCCTCTGCTCGGTCACAATAAGTTCGGGAGCGAATTTAGACAACCTAGTAAAGTGGCTCTCATATTCTGCCACGGTTTGGCTCTCATCCTCCTTTTACTCTTGAACTAGAGGAGGAAAATACTTGGCATTGAACTCTCTCATGAAATTGACCCAAGTCCTTGGTGTTTGCTCTCTCTCCCACTTCATTCTAGTCACATTCCACCAAGAACGGGCTGCTCCCTCCAACTGGAAGATAGCAAATGTTACCTGTCTCTCTTCAGTATATTGCAGAGCAGCGAAAATATCAATCATCTTCTCCAACCACTTCTCGGCCACATCTGGGTCTGGTCCTCCAATAAATTGTGATGGAGAGAACTTTTGAATTCGTTCGAGAGCCCTACCCTCACCCTTTACATGGTTTCCAAGGTTTTCAGGTTGAAAAATAAGGTTTTGGCACTGACGCTCCACTACATGGGCCAACAGATCGGTCATACGTTGAATAGCGGCGGCTACCTGAACATTAGGGTCAACTCCCGGTCCAGGATTCTATTCAGGTACCGATTCACGATTACCCTCTTCATTCACGGGTTGCCTAGATCCGCGCCCACGGCCTCGTCCACTACGAGTACCCTCCATTCGATTTAACCAATCTAAGGTCGAAGCACGAAGGTAATATGAAAGAGAGATAAATGCATGGACAAGTTACAACAATACACACAAGTTAAAAATCAAACAATTAACACAGTTTTAACATATATATCACACAATAACAGTTAGATACAAACAAAAGTAATCCCATGGAAGTAGGGGGTTCATTCAAAAGTACAATATACAAATTAGGCCAGAAGTACAAAAGTATCTCTGCTTTCCTAACTGCCCCTCACATGGAATCAAACTTGGCTTACAGGAGGTCTAACCTAGTTCCCAATCGAGTTAACGAACTTTCCCTCATGGGTAGAACTAGGTGCGTCTCCCTCTCTAGGAGCTCCATCCGTAACCAACAAGAATAGCGCAGTTTATATCGTAGATAGCGTTAATCATACTTAATGATACCTTAACACATCACACGAAGTTCCGTAGAATCAAAGTTCTAGCTCACCCAAGTTATTTCTAACCTAGGCTCTCATCTTTAGTATTCGAGTACAAGAATCCAAAATAAGATAATTCACAATTCGAGCTGGCCAGTCCCCAAGAGTAAATCATCTACATTTAAGATTCCTCCCTGACATGCATATCTATTATCTCCAAGTACCACGAGAAAGGTTTGAAACCTATAATATTTCACGATCCATAGCTTGTGCTCAAAAGAGCACTTAGTCCTTTACACTTATTCACCACTTGGCCCAAGCTCACTTCGCGTAGAGACCACGCGAAGCAGCTCTGATACCATCTGTGACGGCCCCACCTTCCCCTAAGGCGGAACCAATGGGTCGGCGGACCGCCTGCCCAGATCTCGCCAAGACTACGGATCAAATCATTCATAAACCTTACCAAACAGTCCAAAGAACTTTGGAAAAATGAATCATCGGAAACAGCAAAGGACCGCAGCCACGTCAAAATCCAACCAATTTTTTTCTTCCTCATTCAAGGTTCGCACTTGCTCGATTTCCCCAATGGATACAAGAAAGTTCACATAACCATAGAAACGTACAATCTCAAACGAATACACGTGAAACACTTGATTAAACACTTATATACATATATACATCAGAGTTTTCAATAAGTTAACTTGAAATACAAGCCATAGTAACCATACATATACAAAATATAATTAGGGTTTCGGTTACAGAGGAGCATGATCAAAAGAATGTCTACACTAACTCGACTCTTTCTTCAAAAATCACAGCTCTCAAAATATGGAACCCTGTAAGGAAAACAAGGATAACAGGAACGGGGTGAGCTTACGCTCAATGAGGTATCACAAGTACAAATAGTCATGGATCATGGCATTTCACTTTTAAGGCACATATACACAACATATAAGGAAATGAACAAACACCTCAAATGAAAAGATATAGGTGGCTCTCAGGAGCCAAAATTCCCATTGTACTATTTGATCCCAACTTGTTGACGCTCCGTCAACGTCCGAAGAAACAAACATGACCGTAGATCCCACTTGACATCAAATTCCGTCCACCGAACATACCCCTTGCCGGGCCCGAACACACCCCTTGCCGGACCCGAACACCATACACAGAACAGAGGTGGTAATATTCGAGTATACCGAAAATCCAGAGTCTCCAATACCTAAAGATTTTCCAGAAACAGACTACCATGGCTCATTATCTAATCGACCAGGCCCTTGCCGGCTCGACTCGAGTAACTAGCCACAGGTTTTGAGCTCAGAGGTCTCAGAAGGGTCGTTGCATACAAACCTCCAAACGACGTCAAAACAGAAACAGATAACAGATTCAAATTCACACAGTAAACGATCGCACAGGCAAGAGAATGAGTGTGATAAAGTACACACTCATCTCATTCAGAATAAACAGAGTTCATAGTCATTCAAGTCACTAATTTCAAGTACAAATAAACCAATTAAACAACAAATCAGGGGAGTGGTACACTCACCAGTTCAAGCAAAGATAACTTCAAAAGTTTTCTCCCAAAGGATGGCTTTGATCACCGTCACGTCCTAACAACAACCAAGGTAAAATAATTATGGTTTCCCCCATCCATAAACCCAAGAAACGGAATGCACAAATGAAACTCGACTACAAGTCGTGTGCTTAGTCAAGTTAACTACTAGGATAAAGAGATAACAACGTGGCATTGGAGTAAAAAGGTAGCAGTTGGTTTTAAAAACATGAACAACCCTAAAACCTTTCGCTCAAGTCGCGAGTACATCCAAGTAGCTCTAGAGTGAAAATTTGGGCAGCACGCCCTTTGTATTTACCTATTTTTCAACCATTTATGGGTTTATTATTTTTCTCAATTCAGCCCCAAAATCACACACAAATAATCTTACCACAATAGCCTTTCACTAGGCTCATTGTCATTCAATTACAAAATAATGCTAGCAATGCGACCGGAACTAATGTTCAAGACAAATAACAAAATAACAGGTTTGACATCTGTTGACGTTTCGGTCACAACCGAAGCTAAGCTTATCAGATTGAGGTACACTTTATACCATTTCGAAGCTAAGATAGAGAACTACATTTCCTATGAAGACATCAAAACCCAATTCGTTCATTTTCAAGGTCAAAATGTGCAATCTCAGAGAAAATAGAACACTATCCACAAAACAGTACATTTGGCAGTCAAGGGTATTTTTGTCATTTCACATGCTACCGTACTCCGATTAATTTGAAATTTTGTAGGCAACTATTTAACACAATTTCCTACAACTTTCATGTTTTGACCTAAGTTTGATTCGGCTTCTAACATGGACGAATTAAACAGGTAAGAACAGGGCAGTTTCAACCTTAAAGCTAGAAATTTTCTTTAGGCAAGTCCATCTAGCACATAATACACTAATTTATCACATAACAAAACTATCAAACCATGGCCAATCATTAATCATCACATGAGAGCAGAAAATTCACCATAAAAACTGAAATTTATCATAACACTACTTCAACCTATGAAATTTCTCACAAAACTACATATTTAACAACTCTAATCCACCAATTTACAATTATTAAGAGCAAAGAGGGATTTCTAGACAAGTTACCTTGGAACCTTAAGAAAGATGGTAGTTTAGGGTTTCTTCTTCCAAAATCACTCCCCCAAAAGCTCTAAACCTTCTTAGTGAGTAACTTTTATGGAGTAGTTTGCAATTTTAACGGTTGGAACTCAAGATTTGAAGAAGAAATTGAAGATGCAAGATGAAGTTTTCTCTCTTTTTTCCTCTCCCTATTTTCGGCCAAGAAGACATGAAAGTGAAGGAAATTTTGGTCAAATTTTGAGGTTTAGTAAAGGTAAGAAACTTGGGTCAAAGTTGGGTAGATTTTCGACAAGTGTCGTCGTAGGATCAAAGCTCAATTTTTTCTTTTTTTTTTCTTTTTCTTTGGTCAAATATTGTGGCTGGTTTAAGAGATATTTTAGAGTTAATTAGCTGAAATAAAAACAAGGATATTAAGGTAATAAAGTAGTGTTCAAATGGTGTACTCACTCGGTAAAAAACGGTATACGTCGGTTCACACCGTTTTCCTTATCTCGCGCGTACTAGAGTTTTCACTCATAATTCACTAATTTATTATTATTACTCTTTTTTTTTTTTTAATATAAAGGGGGAAACCCCCGATATTTTATTTATAACAACGGATAAACCCAAGAAGGTGGAAAAATTCCCAACCTTCAAAACATGCCGGATAACTAGGAGCTATACCTACACAGGAAACCTGCGAATGTATGGAAAACCTATCGCATCCAAATTAATCAGCGACCGAACTCTACTTGGAAGCTGCTGAACAAATTGAAAAGTAACATATGGACTCTCCCGAGATAACGCTGCTAAGCTATCTGCCATGGCATTCGCCTCACGATGAATATGTGTAATAGACCCCTTCACCTTGCCCAGTAACAAGCGAAGTTGACTTAAGACGCTGCACAACGGCCACTTACCAACCGATCGATTCTGGACCAACCTTACCAACACTAAGGAATCCACCTCTACCAAAATACCTGACAACCCTGCCCCCATACACCACTGCAGCCCAGAACACAATGCTAAGCCCTCCGCATATACCACTTCATATTCCCCAAATTCCTCATAAAAAGCACCAATCATCTTCCCTTCAGAATCACGTACCACCCCACCACCTTTAGCTAAACCATTGATCACACTTGCATCTGTGTTGAGTTTGAACGACCCTCTAGGCGGCTTCATCCATGATATAGCCTTCAGACAGAAGGATTTGGCTGGCTTGACCCGAAAAAACCGTGCAAAATACGTATCCATATCCCCCTCCAACTGCACTTTGTTTAACATACAAGCCGCCCCCTTAGCAACCAACCACCCATTGGCTTCGAAGATAACTTTGGAATGGACAGGGTGAAGATTTCCAAACCGAGCATCATTTCTACTACGCCATAGAAACCATAACACCACTACCGGTATGACACACCGAACATGATCCAATCGACCATTGCTAGAAGATTGGAACCACACCACTAGCAGTGAAGAAACACATGAGAGTGAACGCCACTGAATTCCGCAAGCCAGAAAGAAATGCTGCCAAACAGCACTTGCTAACCTGCCATGTAAGAAAATATGATTCAAGGATTCCACCGCATTACCACAGCAATCACATTTAGAAACCATGGCCATTCCTCTAGACCGGAGCTTGTCGTCCAGAGGGAGAAAATCAGACAAAACCCTCCAAGCTAAGTACGACATTTTTAACGGGAGTAACGGACACCAAATTCCACGGCAAACCAAAGACGTGTTACGCCGCTGCCGAACCAGTTCCCAGGCTGACGACACTGAAAATGCACCATCAGCGGAAGGAGCCCAAATTAACTCGTCCTTAAGCTTCGGATCAACAAATGTTTGAGAAATAATATTAACAATAGATCGTGGAAGAACCTGGAGGAGACGATCAGTATTCCACCCCGTAGAGGTGTAAAACTCAGCTACCAAAAAGTGAGGAGGCGCACCAGTAACCTGGCTGCTAAGTGGTTCATTGAAAAGCCATCGATCATACCACAAATCGATGAAGCCTTCACCGAGCCGCCAACGAATGTTATCTTCAGTGATAGCCCGCACCAAACAGACCCTCTTCCATGTTGCCGACCCCACAGCAGCCGAAGCCAAACCTGGATGTTGCTCGCCAATGTACTTACGGTGCATAAATCTGGCCCAAGGAGAGCTCTTTTGACGTATTGTCCACCATAATTTCATTGCAAAAGCCCTCTCCAAATCCAAAAGAGACCGAAACCCCAATCCCCCTTCTTCAACTGGAAAACAGACTTTTTCCCAAGAGGACCAATGAATCCTCCTACCATCCTTGCCATCCCATAAAAAGGCGTTAAACAGCTTGCCCAATCTAATAAAGACCCCCTTAGGCGGTTTAGTAACCTGCAGGAGGTAAAGAGGCATAGAACTCAACACATGACGAATCAATATGAGCTTCCCCCCAGCAGACAGAAACCGGGAACTCCAATGGTGAAGCTTTGCTCTCACGGAGGCAATTACTCCATCAAATAAGATAGCTTTGCTACGGCCAAGAGAAAGCGGGACTCCCAAATATTTGACAGGCCAAGGCTGACCTTGAAACCCCGTTTCTTGCTGAATTAATTGGATAATCTCCGAAGAGAGCTTCGACGAACACAGAAAGCGACTCTTAGAGAGATTAATTTTTTGGCCAGAGAGAGCTTGATAGTCGTGTAAACAGGACGAGACCGCCTGTAAGCATTCAGTCGATGCCCGGGTGAAAATAATCACGTCATCGGCAAACGCAAGAAACGGGACCATCCCTCCCTTAGACAAAAATCTAAACGCTGGATTGCTAGAAAACAGCCGCTGAAGACCCCTTCCAAGAAATTCCGAGACAAAAAGGAAAAGAGTGGACGATAACGGATCCCCCTGGCGAACCCCTCTAGTCGACTTGAAAAAGCCGGTGAGCTCCCCATTAACCAGGACAGAAAACCAGACGTTGGATACTAACCGAAAAACCAGATCCACTACCTCTTCTTTAAAACCAAATTCTCGCAGCATATATAACAAAAACCCCCAATCCACCCTGTCATACGCCTTCTCCATATCCAACTTCAAGATTACATTAGGGTGACGCAGCTTTTTGTCCAAATCCAGAATCAATTCCTGAGCTAGCAAAACATTATCTTGTATTCCCCTGCCCGGAATAAAACCAGTCTGAAACTCTAAAATCAACCTAGGAAGGAGCTGGTTGATACGGGTGGACAAAACCTTAGAAATGATCTTGGCACTAACATTAGCTAAACTTATTGGTCGAAAATCTTTCCACCCACATGCGCCTTCCCTCTTGGGGAGTAAAATGATCGTCGTACTGGAAAATCCGCGTGGCATTGTGGCACCAGCAAAAAAATCCTGCACCCCGTCCATGAAGTCATCTCTTATACACTCCCAACAACTTTGATAAAAACCCGCGCCAAACCCATCAGGCCCCGCAGCGCTCTGAGGGTCCATTGAGCACACTACAGTATAAACCTCATCCACCGATGGAGATTTCAGCAGCATGTCATTCTCTTCTGGCGTAAGCTTAGGCAGCTCAAGTGAAGGCCTGCTCCCTGAACTAACATCGCGGTCGGCTGTGAACAAAGAGGAGAAAAAATCAGACGCTGACAGTTTAATATCCTCGATATTATCAAGCCAACTGTCCCCGGTGCCCCTAATCCGTGCAATAAAATTAGAGCTGCGTTTCTGCTTAACCGTTGCATGGAAAAAAAGAGGTATTCGCGTCGCCCTCTTTGATCCATTTGATCGCTGCCTTCTGTCTCCAGAATTCACATTCTAAGGCTAGCTCCCGAGAATGGAGTGCCCGTGCCTCATGTACTGCCGACCTAGACAAACCGTCCTTATTTTGATCATACAACAATTCCTTGGCCAATAGATTATCCGCTGCCACTTTGACCCGTTGAGAGACATTCCCAAAAACATCCACATTCCATCCAGCTAAAACTCGCTTAACCACCTTCAACTTATTAAAAAATTTCTACATTCCAATTCCAGGAACAGGCTGAGCCCAAGCAGACGTAACTGTTTGTTGAAAAGTAGGATGACTCCGCCAAACATTAAGAAAGCGAAAGGACGACCGCCGCCTTGCCATGCTGCCCCCCTTAACCAGCAACGGACAATGATCAGATCGCCCTCGCTGAAGATGAGCAACTCGAATCAGCTCAATAGAAGACAGCCAACCAGCATTAACGACCGCTCGATCAAGCCGCTGCCACATACGCCCATTAGTCCATGTGTAGGCAGACCCATCAAACTGTACCGGAAATAGTCCACTCCGATTTAATGCAGAGTTAAATTCTTCCAGGTCACGAATATTCGGGGCTGAACCTCCAATCCTTTCCTCCACAGAAGAAATAACATTGTAATCCCCTACGGCCATCCATGGGAGTGTAACAGACGTTGAAAAATGCTCCAGAGCCTCCCATAACTGTCGCCTACCAATTCTGTTACACCTCGCGTAAACAGCCGAAATAAAAATGGAAGAACTAGAGGGGAAAGACACATGTATATGGACCACCTGATCCGCAGCTTCTACAAAAGAATATCGCGCATCTGAACACCAGAAAATCCAAATTTTGTTGTGCAAGAAGGACTGTGCAAAATCAAAACCCAAGAATAGCTGCACACTATCCAAATGGGAGACATTAGCTAATGGCTCCAATAGGATCAGTAAACGAATATCGTTTGATCTACAAGCGCTACGAATGTGCCTCAACGACTCCTTATTCGCAGCACCCCGAATGTTCCACACTATAAACTTAATCGGATCTAACATTATGAGACCGAAGGTTATAAGGAGCAGATGAAGGCTTACCGTCTCTTTTTCTGGTCTGCCTACCACGAGTCTTGTGACTTTGAACCAAATTTTGCAGCAATTGTGTGTCTGTATCATCCAGAAGAGCTCCAGGGACAACCGAGTCATCGCTTAACTTAGATGCTGCAATTCTGCTGGCCAGCCGATCCCTAAAATTTTTTAACTCATCCAAAGAGATACCTTTCAACCCTAACTGTCCCTCAGAGTTATAGCGCACTAGACGAGCATGACCTTCATGCCGTCGAGGAGAAAGGGAACAAGCCCGCTCGCGCTGCGGCATTGAAGGCACAGATTTAGTCAACAAAATATCATCTCGGCCGAAAGAAGGAATTGTGTCCGATAAAGCTTTAACCGGAGAGGAAGAATCCGGAGGAAAACAAGTCAGTACTGAGAGATCATTCTGTGTATTCGCAGCACCCCCCGATATGAATCAGGGAGAACGGGATCCTGAGCATGAACAGTAGTCTGTGTAGGATTACCCCTAACAGGGTTAGACGAAGATGAAGGGATAACAGTAATAGAGAAATCTGCAGTGGGATTACTGCTTTCGCGCACTTGTACCCTTGGGGCTGCCACAACCCCCGAATCCACCACAGGAGGAGATTCATCGACAGCCGGTCCTCCCTTCGGTTGAAAGACTTGCCTGCCTTGAGACGGAACTGATGGTCTAGCGCGTCGCACAGGCCGCAATTCCGGATGCTTCTGATGACAGGTACTTTCGACATGACCAATGGACGAGCAAAAAACGCAGTACAAAGGATATTCTTCATACTCAATCTTCTGCCAAAAACCCCACTGATCATCCCCTATCCAAATCCTGGATCTTGGAGAATTCAATATATCAACTTCCAACAATATTCGCGCTACAAACGGACGCTTCAGCGCAGCCGTAGCTTCATCCACCTTTAATGGTCGGCCCAGTAAGTTACCCAGCTTAAGCAGAAACTGCTTTTCAAAAAACGGCAATGGAAGACCTGGGAAATTGACCCAAACTGGTGCGATGGACGACTCTGCTCCCGGCTTAAAATCGATTGTCCATTTCGACAGGGACATATGGAATTTGCCGATGTACCAAGACTTTCGACACCAGAGTCTGGTGTAATCCTCCTCCACGGAAGGTCGTAAGAGAATATGCTTGGAATCTAATAACCCTATCGGACACTCACCCTTCAGCCCCAAAGAAACAATAAATTTGTGAATAATCTCCATGGAAGGGCGACCAAATGCAAACCTGCCAACCAGTGCATTAGAATAAGGTGCCGCTATCTGTAACATATCTTGACGGGAGATCACCAACGAAGGCTCCCCCTTGTAAGTACTGAGATGGCCAATGCCAGAGGACGAAGAAGACGGAGATTGAGCCAGAATGGAGGCAAACGTCTTCGAAGGACGAACAAGAAGCGGCGCCTCCCCATGCTGGGGAGCCGCCATGAAACCCTACTAACCTTGCAAAGCCCGAAAATGGTGAGGAAGCCCGATTCTAGAGAGAAAGCCCAAATTCGTTTTTCTTATTATTACTTCTAATCACACACTTTTTATTATCTAAAACTCAATTTTAACCACCAAATTTAGTACACACACCTCACCAAGTGATCACACGGCCAAAATACGTGAAAACCCTAATTTACCCGAACTATAAAACTAAGGGTAAATCCCTTAAATCTCTTATTCATTACAATTATTGAGGGCGTAAATGAGTAGTAAAACTATCATAAAGTAATTGAGTCAAAATAAAAGGGAATTTTAGTCAAATTTTTGTATTTACTAGAAGTAAGAACGTCTTGGTCAAAAGCCACCATCCATTGGTTTCGCGACAAATAGTGCACTAGGGTTTATTGTCATCCTTTTGGCTACCAATGATTAATTTACCTAGTTAACCTCTAATGATCCCCGAGCGCCTTGTAAAAATAATATTCCTTAATACAACATGTGACAGCCCCACATCCCCCTAAGGCGAACCAGAGGGTTCGGCGGACCGTCTGCCCAGCTCTCGCCGGGACTCAGTCGTTCACTACATTCCTCAAATGAATTACAATATAAATCTCAAATATTACAACAAATGTTCCAACAATTACATGTCATAAGCGAAGCGGAAACAATTCCCAACTAAACATAAAATGAATCCAAATCCAAATTGTACAAAATATAGGCCGTCCATTCACGTGAATAAGCACAAAAAGTCCTTCCTTCGCCTTGAGCCCTGTGGAGGGGAATAAAATATTTTTGGGGTGAGCTAGAAGCTCAGCGAGTAACCAGTAAAATCAGTAATCAAATCGGTTTCACAATAGTTCATTTCAATGATGTCATAAATCAATGATAAGTCCAGAAACAATTACAACATTTACAATACATTAAATATGGAGTATCAATAATTCAAGAAATATTTACAATGGAAAGCGATAGTAACATTCATGAAAAGGATACGTTCGTTCTCCTGTCATTCCCCTTTCCTTCATTCATTTGAAAATGCATTTTTCTTTTATCAATAAAACCCTCGTTCGTTCGTTCATTCGTTCATTTCATTCACCCTCTCCTGGACGTTGTCCAGGCTCCACCAACCTCCACCAACCTACAAAGGTAATACTCGAGTATACCAAAACGTTCACCCAGGTCACCATATCGCCCGACCGAGTCCGCTTCTGGCTCGAGTCGATCGGTAACAAGGGGCAGTGGCCAGTTGTGACAGCCCCACCTTACCCTAAGGCGAACCAAAGGGTTTGGCGGACCGCCTGCCCAGCTCTCGCCAGGACTAACGGTTCGGTATAGAACGAACTAATACATCCCGAAACTTACCAACGCGGGTAAACAAATCAAAATGTTAAAATTACAAAAAAAATAAAATCGAAGTCGGCTATGAATAGTAACCGACCCGTCAGAACCCAACCAAATACCAAGCAAACATTCCAATCTTGAAACTTAGCATTTACAAGCCAAAGTGGCATACAAAAGTATTCAAAAGTGGATACATGTCTGGTTTGCCAAATCAAAAGGAAAACAGTTCCCAAAAGTACATTTAGGATTTTAATACATGAGCTATACAAAAGATATGTTCAACCAGCTCAATTTGGCAGCCATTTGTCAAATCCAGTCCAAAAGTATTTATTTTCCTGTAAGGAAAACAAAAAGGAACAGAAAGGGGTGAGCTTGCGCTCAATGAGGTACCAAAAATATAGCAGAAAAATCATGGCATTTCACACTTAACAAATCAGATACACATGCCAGATGTATAGTAAAGTAACTAATGATTCACATAGGAAGGATACAGGTGGCTCTCAGGAGCCAGCTTTCCAGCGCAGTACTTGATCCAAGCCGGTTGACTCTCCGTCAACGTATATAGAACCAACGTCCGTAGACCCCACTTTACACCGAATCCCGTTCACCAAACACCCCTTTACCGGGCCCGCTCACCGCAAACGAACAGAAATGGTAATACTTGAGTATACCGGAATCAAGGGTCTCAATACCCAAAGATCCCAAAACAGACTACCGTGGTTCGTTATCTAATCGTCCAGGCCCTTGCCGGCCCGACTCGAAAAACTTAGCCACAGGATTTGAGCTCATAGGTCACAGAAATCTGAACAGATGCAGACACAGATAACAGATTCAAATTTTGCATAGTAAATTGGCATATGAACAGACAAGAGAACGAGTGTGATAAAGTACACCCTCGTCTCAAACAAATTAAACAGATTGCAGAGCAGAAATCAAGTTAAACAGCAATGGAGGGGAGTGGTACACTCACCGATTCAAGTACAGATACCTCAAAAGTTTTCACTTCGGATTGGCTTTAATCGCCAAGAAAGCCTAAAATAATCAAAATAAACCAATTGAAGGTTTCATATCCAAAATCGAGTGAACGGAATGCACAAGTGAGGCTCGCCTACACGTCGTACGCCTTGCCAAATAAATAGTAATGCAAGGGTGGAAAACATGATTTTCTTGGAAACGAAAAGGTAACATGAAGACCTAAGCGCAAACAACCCAAAAGCCCTTCGCTCAAATCACAAGTAAATCCAACTAGCCTTTAAGTAAAATTTCGGCAGCATATCCCTTGTGTTTACCTATTTTCCAGCCATCATGGCTTCATTAATTCCTCAAATCAGTCTCAACATCTCACACAAAAGTCATCTCATTTCCCAAAAGCCGTTCACTAGGCTCAAAGTAGTACAAGTACAAAAGTTAGCTAGGAAATGACCGGAATGAAAATAATCCCTAAAACATGCAAACAAATACAAGGAGACTCGATAACGAGTCATAAACCAATGCCAAATATGACCCCAATAGGGTTCCATAAACATATACAAACATTAAAGAAACCAGAAAATTCGAACATGCAATTAACTTTGGCCCTGCAAAAAAAACAGGTTTTGACTTTACTTTGCGGTAATAGCACCAAATGCACTACAATTATCGGATGAGGGTACAAGACCCACCATTTCGAAGCTAAAAGACAGGGCTACAACTTCACAGAAGGTCACTCAACCCAGTTTTGAGTGGAAACAGGTCAAAAATGCAAGATACGTCATCAACAACGTAAAACAGATTCACCAAAACGCATTCTAGCGGAAACATCATAACTCAGGCTCTACAAGTCCAAATCCAGAAATTCCAAAACCATCTGAAAGCTAAGAAACAGGGATAAATTTCATAAGAAGGTCTCAACAACCAATTCGGAAGCAATTCCAGCCAAAACAACCAATTACAGTCGCAAATCCCAATTTCGGGTAAAACCAGAACAGCAATAGTAATTTCGACTTTTCTCAGTCTACGCTACTCCGATTGACCTGAAATTTTGTAGGCACCTCTAAAATGTTATTCCCTACAACTTTCATGTTTTAAGTCAAGGCCAATTCGGCCTCTATCTAGGACCAAAAATTTCGGACAGAATGAAGAACCAAGAACCCTAATTTTCCAGAATTTCTTCCAAAACAGAAATTGATTGCAATTGTCCACTTTTTCCACCTTCTAGATGCCTTATATACCATTTCCAATCATCATATATAGCCACACAATCATGTTCATATGAAAACAGAAAATCCCCAAAAATAATAAAAGTTCATCAATTCAACCACAACTCAAGATATAACCCATAAATTTGCATCTTATACAACCACTAAGCATGATTTAAGCATCAAATAAGGGAGGAGGGTGGTTCTTCATGACTTACCTTTAAAACAAGAGAGAGAGAGCTATGGGTCACCTCAACCTTCCAAATAACTTCACCAATCACCTCAAAATCACTAAGTGAAGAGGTTTTATGGAACAAAAGTAAGACTAAGT